AATATGATTAGGTTGTTTAGAAAAACATATCATATTAACTAATTTAATTAACATCCTTAATCTGCTCTAATTAGTTAATTAGGTCTTACATTAAGAACCGAAAAAATATTAATAAGGAACAATACCATCAATATCCCTATATCAATTACTGAAATACAGAAATAAACATTCAATAATTTAAACTACATCATTACCTCCAAAGGTTGCAGTGATGAGTGAACGAAGGATTACATTCATGGAGTATTTCTGATACCCATAGAAGTCCAAATTCCAACACATGTCCTAATATTAGAATAAAAATAAATCACAAATTAATAAATGGAATATGTACAACCTTTTTTTTTTTTTGGGGTCAAGGAATATGTACAACCTACACAGCAGCAATTAAAAGCTTGTCCCCAAAAAAAAAAAAAAACCGGAAAAAGAAGAAGAAGAAGAAGAAGCACTTAAAAGCTTTACAGAAATAAATACCAACAACACATATAAGACATTAAAAATGTTACTCCAAGACAAAAAAGAAATAACTCCTAGAATTATTCTGGAGTACGAGGTGTTGGAAAAATGTTGCAGCATAATCGTTCCTTTTTTCTTCCAATTCACCCAAGAGGCTTCAGAAGATTCTTTTGTATGGCCTTCTTTCGCTTCCAATGCAACTAGGAAGTTTTCTTCCCAACCCATATACACCATGGTGACTGAAAGACTTGAAGCACAGTAATGTTTCTAACGTCTTCGTGACTAGGGAATTTTTGTGGTAAAATTAGGGGGGGGGGGGGGGGAACCAACTGATAATTAAAATTTTCATGGAATTTTAAAATATCCATATCAGCCAACAACAATTGTTATGTATTGCATACATAATCGACGAAGACAATGTTGAAGTGTAAAGGGCAAACTTCTACGATAGCAATACAAGTCACTCATAATCACCAAATTCTTCAACTTTTCAGAGCAAGTTTTGAAATAATATCTAAGAATGAGGTCAATCTCCAACATAATGAACCAGCAGGAGAAAATTTACCATCTCTGGATCACTGCAGAGGAGATTACTCAGTCAGTAATCAGTAGAGAGATTCTAGAAAGAAATGCCAAGATGGACGTGGTAAGGATAGTGATAATTGGGAAGTCAACAGATGAGGCAAAAGTTTTGAAAATGACATTGATAATTGCAAAGTTAATAATGAAGAAGGAAGCATGATAATGTGGCAGAAGTTGGTATGGTTTATGAACAAAGATCTTGAGAGAGAAGCCATTAATTCAAACAGCTGGACTTCATATAGGTTTTAGAAATATATTGACGTTTTCCTAGGTTAAGTACTAACACTCCCAAAGCCTCAATGAATACACTACTTGTAAAAACATATAATAAATTATAAACTATGTAACAGATAGCATATATAATTGACAAAAAGAAATACAATAAATACCATTACTTTGATTTAGTGAAGATATCTTACTAATTTATTAGTTAAAAAAGTAACCATAAAACAGAGACACTTCAAAAAAGATTTGCACTATTGAAATTAATAATCATGTTTCCGAAGCAATCTCCACATTTTTTTCAGTTAAATAATAATTTGTTGGTGATTAAGATTTTATAGCTAATAATACAAAAATCTCAAACATACTCACATATTGGAGCCACCATCATTATGTTGTTACCCAAATGAGAAATGTGATGTGTTTAATTCTTCTGCAATACATCAAAACAATAAACTTGGTCATGAGCAAAACCAAAAGCTTCAAACAGCAATGTTAGTAGGAAGAAGAGGCACGCCTTGTTCTTCTCTGTGTTAATGTGTTTTACCTTATCAGTTGCCTTAAGCTTCCTCATAAAATTCTTGGTTGAACTTCTTGGCTGGTTCACTAGGAGAAGCTGTTGTTCTTCGTTTCAGTGAAGTTCTTGGAGCATTCATGAAAAGCAGAGAAAACTTGAACTGGACATTCTCCATGTTTGTCTGCTGTTTGTAGACATATAGTCCACAGTTAATTATGGACAATTCTGGTGGGTCACATATGGCTTCAATTTCCACATAATTCCAATCCTCTTTCAAAAACCTGTTAAGGCTCTTACACTCTTCTCTCTCAAAAGCCCTTCTTGAATCAAATAAAACCACATGACCCTCTCTACCACCATAAACCATTTGACTTAAAATCTTCTTTTCTATTTTACAAGATTTGATATTTACACAAACACAGAAATTCTTTGATCTCGCATTTGCATTCACTTTTTCAAACTCAAATGTCAAGGCAACAACAGGGAAGCTCCCACGCGCATGAAAAGACAACCTCCCTCCTTTACAGCAATTGTCAAACCATTCTGGAAACAATGATGCAGGCATACGGACTTCAAGGCCATTGATCTCCTTCATTGCCTGAAGTACCAAAGCATCAGAGACTAGACATTTTTCAGACTTGAAAGAATATATTAAGAGAATTTCATAAGGTCTATAACTTTAGAGCTCACATACTCGCCCGTGATTTTAAAGACTCTGCTATCTTGTGAGGATTAAGTGGGTGCCAGATGTGATTGTGACTTAAATTGTACTATGGAAGCAAAGTGTTCAGCTTAGCAGTCTACGGGCTTGTTCATTAATGTGAGGATAGAGATAGAAGACAAGTTGGAAAGACAATACTAAAAGTATTAAAGAAAGGAAAACTAAATTGAAAAAAAGTATTTTTCTCCCAAAAGTCAAGGCAGTTTGAACATGCAAAAACAAAAAAAAGGGAATCACTCAACTGTCAGGACAAGAGAAAATAATATATAAAAATAAAGAGAAAAACCTGAGACCATAAACGACTTAATGACTCTGCCGTTAATGATGTGCAATTCTCTGCCTTTATCATCTCCAACTTCAACGGAAGCTCTGGTATGTCTCTTAGATGCTTGCAGTTATTCACTTCCAGATTTAACAAATTTGCACACTCTTTAATGCACTTAGGAAGTGATACAAAATCATTCCCAGATAGAACCAAAGTCTCCAAGTTCTGAAAACAGTTCAGAGTAAGGTGAAGATCTTCATCCGGTAGATGGCAATTTTCAAGATTCAAGACCTCTAAGTTGGTTCAGCTATTCACTTGCTGGCTTTGTTGCTCTAATTTCTTTATTGATTTTTTGCAGCAGCTTCGAGTGTCACCCAGCTCAAGCCAGCTAAGACTTTGCAACAAGAATAAGCTATTTGGAAGCTCCCTAAGACTTTTGCAGGAGCTCAAATCAAAGATTTGAAGCCCTGAAAGATTTCCAATGGAATGCGGGAGTTCTTTAATTGCCGTGTCCACTGCAAAAATATCCCTCAGTGCATCCATCTTTCCTACTATATTTGGAAAGTAGTCAAGATTCTTACAGTAACTTAGTTGGAGGGATACAAGCGATGCCATATTGATTTCACGTGGAAAGCTTCTAAGTTTGGGACAACCACTAACGTCTAATTCAACCAGCTTAGAGAGAGATCCCACAGAATCATGAACCTTGATCAAATTCTTACACTCATTAAACATTAATTTTTTTAAATTCTGAAATTGAGACATGTCAGGTATTTCAATTATGGATTCACAACGAGAGAAATCCATATATGTTACATGCTCAAATCTCTGCAAAATAAAAATTAAATAATTAGTGAACAGTGATTGTCAAGTCATATTGCTTTTTTAGTAAAATATTACAATGCCCCGTTATTTGTCTAGTGTTATACAGACCTCTCCTATATTTCTAAAATCCAGAAAAGTCTCTTTCGCATTTTGAAAACAAATCCCCCAAAGCAAACTAATTTTAAAATGTCTAACATGATTTCTAAAAGTCCATGGTTAACTCTACGTCATAAATTCAAAACTCCAAAATATTCCTAAATGCTCTCTTATGTTTTTTTTATCAAAATATGCAGCAATAGATTGTCTTTTTCTCCGGGGGGAAAAATCACATTAATACACTGTAAAAGTAAAGAAAGATTCTTTTGGGCCCTTTAAAAAGCAACAGAAAACTGATTATATCAATATTCATTGAATAGTATGTAGCTTAATTATTTAAAACATACAAAGGAGATTTGCACAAATTTAAGATATACACGAGAGGTCTAAGTATAATAAGAAAAAAATAAAAGGAAAATAGGAGCATTTTATTCTTGATTAGGGGAAAACTATGAAGAATTCAACCAAAAAAAAAAAAAAATTCAGATTAGGGGGAGGAAATCACCTTGAATGTCTCTCCCAGTCTGAAATGACTACCACATAACTTGAAGCAAACTAGATTTTTAGGGTAAAAATCTGGTGGTAGAGTCATAGAAGGGTAACCATCCCAGTCAAGCAATCTTAAACTACTTGGAAAATATTTAGCACCCATAGAAAACTTGGCATTTCGAACAATAAGAATTCTAAGATTACTCATATTCTTAAAGGCAGTACCATTCCACTCCACTTCTTCCTGTTGAGGTGGATCGAGCATTATTCCTTCAATATTACCACTTCCCTATAATGCAAGTAATAAAATTAGACATTACCAAAGAGGCACAATCCATTTAACGTATATGAGGAAACAAAAACGATTTAGATTCTTACCAAATTTTCATGCAATACTCTCAGAACATCCCCGTAATACCATAGTCTACTGCGCTTACCTAGATTTGATGGTGCCTCTTGCCTAACAATCTCTCTACCCATTTTGTGTATCAGATCATGCATCCAAAACCGGCCATTATTACTGACAGTTATAAGAGATTTATCAACAAGCACTTCAATAAAAAACCTTGCCCCATAATTATAAGCTTCTTGTATTTCTTCAATATATTCCATACTATTCTTGAAGAAACAAGCAATATCTAAGAAAATACTCTTAGCAGTATCCTGTAAGCAATCATAGCTTATCTTTAGCACCTCATGAACTGTTTTTTCTGGAATTCTTTCATACTGTTCAAGTGTAATTCTCCATTCTTCTAAGTTCTTTTGAGCCAAATTGGAACCTATTACCCTTAAAGCCAAAGGAAGACCCTGTGCATAACCTATTAAACGACTAGACATATCTTGATAACATTTTGGAGGTTTGCTCGTATGGAAGGCATGCCAACAAAAGAGTTCCAAAGCATCATGATCATTTAGCTTCTTCATTTCATAAGCTGTTTCAACACGATGTGCAATTAGTAATTGCTTATTTCTTGTGGTTATGATGACCTTGCTTCCAGAACCAAACCAATCAGAGCTTCCTGCGAGTTTTTCTAGGTGTTCTAGCTCATCAACATCATCAAGAACCAAAAGAACTCTTTTGTGAGAGAGCCTGTGTTTCATTTTAGATATTCCTTCATCAACACTGCCCAACTTGATCCTTTCGTCGAGAATCTCTGATAGAAGTGTCTGTTGGAGATGAAGCATGCCTCGGTACTGCTTTGAAGCGTCTGTTACATCAAATAGAAAACAGGCACCGTCATATTGGTGGAAGATTAAATTATACAAAGCCTTGGCAAGAGTTGTTTTGCCAACACCACCAGTTCCATAAATCCCCAGCATACAAACTCCATCATCAGATTGATCTAGAAGTGATATCACTTCTTCTATGCAGGACTCAAGTCCAACAATGTGACCAGTGCTATGTAGGCGTTTTGGAGGTAGCACAGTATATGCATCTTCAACAATCCTTTCAATAAATCCAGATTCATTTCTGCAAAATTGCAAATTCTTCTGACTACGAAGGCAACTCATGCAAAATGCCATTTGTTCCTCATTCGTCATAGCTTTTCTACTTTTTTTAGTCCCATTTTGAACCTCCAAAGATGATCTTAGATTTATTAGCTCTTGCAAAGATTTTTCGTATTATTTCAATACATGGAAAATGAGACTTTCAAGTACTGAAGAGATAATCGAGGGGAAAATTAGAACAACGTGCCTTCTTTGTGCAAAATATACATGACAGAACTAGCCATAAAACAAAGCTTGTGAAGCTTTTAATAACACTAGATACTCTGGTGAATACCATACCTTCTACACTACTACTAATTGACGGAGACATGAACATTTGAACTGTAAGAATGATCTTCGTTAAAAATGTCAAAAATCTTGTATAGCGGGGTATATCATGTCAACAACGGAGTCAAGTCAAGAATCAATTAGAAAAATAACATATAAAAACCTACCCATCTTCAAAAAGCCATGCCGATGACAAACTAGCAGCTTCAGACAAAGCAGACCTCCATTTGCGCACTTTCTCCAGATCATTTCTGAACCTATTTTCATGGGCAGCCATGGCTTCTCCAAAGCTATTTGTCTGATATTGTACATCCATCGGATTCACCTTATAAAAAATCGGCATAACCAGCTGGTTCTTCTTCTTCTTACACTGAATGATGTGGTCAAGTTCATCCAGGCACCATGAGGAAGTAGCGTAGTTCCTAGAGAAGACAATGATCGAAATCCTGGATTTTTCGATGGCCTTGAGAAGCGCAGGTGATATTCGTTTCCCTTTCCCAAGCTTCTTGTCATCAATGAAGGCATTGATTCCCTTCCGGCGCAAGGCATTGTAGAGAATCACAGTGAAGGAGTGGCGAGTATCTTCGCCTCTGAAACTCAGGAACACATCACATCGATACTTCGTTTCGCTGGTAAGGCCAGAAGATGGTGCTGCAAGTTGAAGCGCCATGGTCAGGATAGCTACTACAAGCTGTTAGATAAGGAAATTTACTCCTACAGGTAAAGACCAGCTTATAGGAACGTGATTCTTCACCAGATTACTAGCAAATGACAAGTCTAATTGTATGCGGGTGTCTTTTGGGATCCGATGCCTTGACGCGTGAAATATCGAAAGCGCATGGAAATTTTGTAGAAGATGCCTCTGCCTCACCGGCTTCGGATTCCGGCGAAGATGCCGCATTGGCTCTTCAGGGGACTTTTTCTCGGGTCGAGCTTTATCGCTCTCGGAGCGAACCTCTCCGCTGAGGTCCCGGTACATTTAGATGAAACGACATCGTTTCATTAAAATATTTTTGGCAATTTTTTTTCCCAGCTGAGCCGTCTTTACAATTTTATTCCGGTCGGCACACATTCGCCCTACGGCCGGCACCGAAGCAGAACTCAAGATGTCTCAGGACGTCGCCATCGTCTCCTCCAGCGACGGCAAGATACCGGCCTGCTCCAATGCAACCTCATCCCAGATCTCATCCTCGCTTCTTCATTTTTCATATTCGAGCTGCGATTCCCCGTTACTGGGTTAAGAATCCATGGAGGTCCCTCGCTTACGTTCCCATAAATGTGTTTCTTGTCCTTTCCTTGCCTGCTTTCGTTCTTCATTTGTGGCTCAGTTTCTTCTGCTATATGATTCAAGTAAAGGAAGCTTGCAGGAAAGCACATTTGAAGCAGAACAGTTAGCCAAGGAACGCCATAGAGAGAAGAACGGTGGTCTCAACGTCCATTTTATAACCACGTTATACCAATGCTTGGACACTAAGGATGTGTTTGGTTGGAGGGGAGGGGAGGGAAAATGAACCCTCCCCTCATTTGGTTAAAAATTTTAGAAGGGAGAGGAGCTAAAATGTCCCCTCCCCTCCCCTCCCCTCCCCTCCCCTCCCCTCCCCTTATTTTGGCTCCCCTCCAAGTTGGGAGTTTTTGGAGGGGAGCCAAAATTTTGGACCATTATACCCTTATAATTTTTAAATATTCCACTTCTACCCATAAAATATATTATTATAATATTTATTTCAAATAAAAAATATATTATCCTAAGTAAAAAAAATAAAAATATATATACATTATTATAATTAAAAATATATTATAAAAATTATTTAAATAAAAATTATAATATTATAAAATTAATTTTTTTATAAATATATTATTTATTAAATATATTTTAAAGCTGGAAAAAAAGATAGCCTAAAGAAAATAAAATTTCATTTTTCTTAGAGCATATAAAATTTGTTAATTTGATTAGTTTAAATATATTATTATATTAATTAGAATAAAAATTACTGTACCAATTTTTTAATATACATATTAACATGATAAGACTGAATTTTTATTAAATTATATGATTTAAATTAAGATGTAAATTAATTTATATAATATATGAATAAAAAATATAAACTAATATGTAAGGGTAAAATGGTAAATTAATTATTACTATCCCTCCCCTCCCCTCCTTGAACCAAGCAAGGGATCATTAAATACCTTTCCCTCCTTTCTTTTTAATCAAACCAAACAAGATGAGGATGAATATCCCCTCCCCTCCCCCATCCCCTCAAACCAAACAGGCCTTGGCGCTTTCAATTGATTAAATGAGTTAAAAAAACTCATTTCAGGTTTTTCTCTTTTAATAATTAATGGGCTCTCGGCAACAGCAAGGGAGGCACAGATATGGCGCGACAAGAACAAAATTGCAAGGACCACTGGCTCGGTTGGATTGAAAGAAACCTGGAAATTTTTTTTTTAACTGAAACTTTTTTCGTTTCATCTAAATGGACGAAAGTGACGGAAACCTTAGCACAGAGGCTCCGCTCCGTTTCTCTCTGAGCTCGGGGTCAACGGGGGTTCGGATCCCCCAGCGGCCATTTTCTCGCTGTAAGCTCTAAATCATATCCGTCCAATCAATCTAAGAGGTCACAAAAATACACATCAATGACATCATATAGCTTTTAAAATTTTATCTCCACCGTCCAATATATTATAAGCCGTTCGTTCAAAGCCCATTTGAACCCCGACGATCTGCTCTCCCTCGCACTCGCGGCATTCCGTTCTCCTTCACAGCCCTCTCTGGCTTCATATTCTCCGTCTCGCACTTCGTCACTCGAAACACGGCATCTCGTACTCTTCCGTTCACCTCCTCAGATCAAATTCAAGTTTAAGCATGCGAAGCAGTTGCAGGCCTTTTGCGATCTCTAAGTTCAGTCAATCTATACAGGAGTTCAGTCAGAGAGCAGAGCAACAGAAGAGATGAATACACTGCTGAGGCAGTTTTCCTCGGTTCCTGAGGTATAGGAACAGGTATATTGCCACTTGCATTTATGCATATCTCTTGCTGTAGATTATTGAGGACTATGTGGACGTCATTTCCATAGGTAAAGGAGCAGGGTATGAGTGCAGAATTCATCTGTGGATGAGAAGCTCCTCATTAAACGTGCAAAGAGTGATTTCCTGCCATTAATTATTAGGTACCTTGAAGACGAGGATGTAAAACTGAAGAAGCTGCAAGAGGCATGTTGGCAAATTTAGCTTTGAGCCATGTTAACCACAGCATTTTGGTCGAAGCAGGGTCATATTGGTGAGACTTTCCTAACTTTACGTACTACTTCCTCCGAAGTTGTTTGATTTTTATTTTAGTCATAAATATAAAATCCTAATTCATTTTATTTCTCATATTTATATATTTTTTTAAGTAATCTTTTTAATAATGATAGTTTTAACCAATACACTTTATTAGTAAAGATATTTTAGAAAATACAACACTTATTTATTATAAGTAACTAACTTAACTTATTTGTTTAATATACTCAAATTAGTCAGTTAGAGTTTATATTTAACACTGGAGGCAGTATTAAAAAGATGGTTATTTTTATAATAAAATATTGGCATGACATGCTGGCTTTATATGGAGGCATGTAAATCCCGTCAACATAAATTCACTAAAAGCCTATAAGAATATTGGAGGGATGGTTGAATGGAAGAATGGAAAAGAAGAATGTCATGTTTTCAGTAGGACTTAATTCTTGATGCTTGCAAAATTCCAGAACAAATTTCCCTGCAGGCAAAGTTCTTAACTTCTGATTCTGAAAGACCCAAAGTCAATAAAAAGGCAACATTCCATTTTCTTGACTCACCAGCATAGACATAACATGAACGCTCTGTAACCTATCTTCCTTATTGTTTTATGAATTGAAATGAAGCTTGTGTCCATGAACTCTATGTCCCTTTTGTTCCCGCGGTGAATTCGTTATTAAAAAATTTCATGATAGTTTGGTACGTGTAAATAGTTATGGGTTTTATGGTGCAAGCCTACTATTCTTCATATATACTCCTCCGATCTTTAATATAATACTCCCTCCGTTCCTTATTATAAGAGACAAATAACCGAAGTACGTTGATCAAAAAAATAGATAAAATTAGTTAAGAACAATTAATGTGTAAAAAGTATAATTTTTTTTCTTCAAAAATACCCTCATTAATAAGGGGAGAGAGCATAAGAGAGAACAATTAAATTATTAAAAGAAAGAAAAGTGGGAAGGAGAGAGAGTGTGAGTTGGAGATAATAAATATGGGTAAAATAGGAAATCAACACAAAAAAGTAAAGACAACTTTTAAGTGTCTCTTATATATAGGAACATGCCATAAGGATCAAATGTCTCTTATAATAAGAAACGGAGGGAGTACCCATTTAACTAATTTGATTATATTAAGAAAGTTAGGTAAGTTAATTAATTATAAGAAAAGTGACTCATTTTTTCTAAAACACCATAATCATCTTTCTTCATACATTTTCTCCTCCTTCTATTTGATTATGATTGAAAGAGTATCCATATGGATAATTTAGAGAAAATTGATAAATATAATAAATGGGTCTTATATTTATGATCAAAACCAATTCAAGAATTAGATTCTATATTAAGGATCGGATGAGTATAGATACAAAGAGAGAGAAAGAGAGGACCATGTTGGTGATTTGGAACTTGTTCTTTCCTCTCGTCATATCTATATACAATTATACATGCTATCTTGAGCAACGAGCATGTACAGGCTTGACGTATAACTGTTAATACAATGGAAGAATTGAGTTCAAACACCACAAATATTACATGTTTGAGCATAAACAGGGACAATGTAGATTTTACCTGGAATAGTACTTAACCCATGAAAGTAATTTACTTTTAGTAAAATTTTCCTTTGGTTATTTTGTATCTGATAAAATTTGCAGAAGATCGACGTCATGCGCGCAGTTGAGGGTTCAGTGCGTTTTGAAGAAGCAACAAAATTAGACGGCTACGATTTAATAAATTAACGGAGAAAAAATGCTGCTGAGGGAATCTGCTCCCCAACCCCGTAAACCACAACCACGCATGTGGCCTAATTCCTCGTAAAACGTATTCCATCTTATTTTTTTTAAAATAACAAACAATATTTGAAATTTATCTTAAATTTTTATTGTAAATTTTTTATCTTGTCCTATTAATTATTTATTTTAATATTTAATAAATTTATTATTTTATTTTTCAAACCATTATCTCTCTTTCACACATTTTTTCTCTTTTATAATTCTTTTTATTATAATAATTTTTTATTCTCTTTCTTATACTCTTTTTTTTTAAATAAGAATATTTTTAAAAAAACTTTTAATTTTTATTTGTTTATTATTTTTAATTAACTTTTTGATCTACGTAATCAAATCTTATATTACTTATAATAAAAAAAGACGGGGGAATAACTAATTTCCTACTCAGCCTTGTCCAGACGCTTATCGAAGAGCTGGTGTGGCATCTATTCTCTATCGATCAAATAAAAGATCGGGAGCAAATTGCATCTAATAGCCCTTGGCCAGTTTCCCAGTTATTACTTGGAATCAATGTTAATGTCAAATCTACATGCAACTATTTTTAAAAAAAGAATTTAATTTCACATGGATTTGATGGAGTATCATAAATGAGACATAAAAGTCATAATTTAAGAATAATATGTTTTGTTATTTGT